GGTTTAAAAATGCCATCTTGTCTTTAATGTCATTGCAAGTTGCAATGACACATGGAAATTGTAACTCTGCACTTTTGTATTATGTATATATTTGTCACTCTGTATTTTATACTTTTGTACATATGTTGTTTAAGTAAATGCCGATGCAGATGCCCCTGGGGTTCCATGGGGGTGCCATGGTACTCTCTTTTTCACACTGTCCTATCCTTCTATCTTTCATCTTCCATCTTTTTCTTACTTTACTAAACTCTTCTTTCAACTTTAAAACAGGGCTAAGTCTTCTGCTAAATAAGACAGCCCTACTTAACTTTCTTTGTTGAAGGTCGCGAGTGTACGTGATGGCACTCGGGATAGAAATGGATTAGGCAAAAAAGTGCACCTTACAAGTCGATTACAAAAAATAATTCCCGTTTATTTATTTAAACAATTTTCACTTATACGTAGGATAACACAGAGTACTTCCATTACATCTTCTGTATATAGCGTAACATGATAGATAAGACTTAAGACTATTTAGAGATTTATTAACGGGACCCTAGCCATGAGAAAGAGAAAGTTTACATTTTTGCACGCGGCAATAAATAAGTTAATAACTTGATTGAAAAGTCGAGATCCAGGTAGAATACTATAAGTCATTTAATGAACGTGTGAAGAAATTCAAGTTTGTTGGGTACGGTTCCTCGCAGGTATAATTTCAACGTTAGCTACAAAAGCATCTACGGACAGTGAATGGCAGCGGCAGGAGGGATTGGCGTTGAGGAATACACTTGCACACAGAAAAGGATCAACAAATTCTTCTAATCGGTTTCGATGTTATTCTTTTATTTTGGGGGTTATACCTCTTGATTTCAGTGCCCTTTTTAAATTTTTCGACCAAAGATGAATACGTGTAGTTAGTTCCAAGGAAGTGAATCAGGGATGGAAAATGCGGTCATCCTCTCATAATTAAATTGAAAATTTTTCGCTGGGATTTAAATCAATTTAAGTAATTTTTTTTTTTCAAAATATTCGTCAAATCTGGGTTCTCACTGCAATAAATAAATTTTTTTATTCATCATCAAGTTATATCTGACCTTCACCTGTGCTATTCTTATAGAATAGCACAGGTGAAAATCTTGCTATAACGTCTTGCTACATCATTTCCAGGTATATTTCTTATTATTTTTTTCATTATTCTTTGTTTTTGCGTACACCAGCAATTTTAGTTCTATCATGTTAATTGAAAGTACATCGGTAATACTAAGAAGAAATTCTCTTGTAAATGAATTAGTAAAAATTAATTAGGATTCTAAGTCAATATTAAGAATTATTTTGTAATTCTGTAAGTCGGCTTCAACCAAAAACTCATAGTACACAGTTAACGAATAAAACATAGGTTATTAGTATATTATTTATGTTGCCCAAAAACATGAAATTTTTAAATAAAGAAAATATTATTGTATTGAATTTATCTGTACTATAAATTCAGTGCTAATAGTTTTTCCAGCTCTTAAATACCATATTCAAGTAATTTCAATCATTCCTTTATTTTTCTCTCAGTTGCTTAGATGCAATAATCGAAATATTGTTGTTCGTACTGAAAAGTACTTTTCTTGGTTCTTTTATACGCGGAATCAGACTACCGAAATCTGCCCACTT